GGTTCAAACCCACCAGCCACTCCTCGGAAGGAAGGTTGGGCAATCCTACTTCCGTAGTGATAACTGCCTCGGAAACCCAAGGAGGGGTCGCTAGGAGTCGGGGCCAACTCGATGGCAAATAACAACAACAACAACAACAGGGTAACTACCTTTAAGTCTAGTTGATATTTTTGTTGTTGTTGTTGAAACCTTGGACATGTTCAACATCTTGATGAATGCAAGTAAGGTGCTTACATGGTGTCTAGTGTGTAATATGTTTGATACTATTTTCATTGTTGTTATTTAGGAGAAGGGGAGTTGAAGAGGTGAGGTGGTTGGTGAGAGTGTAATTGGAGTGCTAGGAAGGGTCAGGCTGGTGAGGAAGACAGTGAAACCAAGAGGAATGTTAGAAACTGGACCAGAAGAAGGAACTGAGGGATTAGAAATTATTAAAAATGGTTTTAGTGGTAGGAAAATTGGAAAAGATAATAGTTTCTGGCCAGCAAGTGAGATCTCAGAGTTTACGATTCTAGATATATGACTTCGAGGTAGTGATAAGATCTAGCTTTGATAGTAGGAGTTGGTTGCTGATATGAAATGGAAATAAATTCAATTTAAATTCAACAAATATTTATGGATCCCTTACTGTGTGTGAGGCACTGTGCTCAGCATCAGGGAATATAAAGTATGGGCAAAATATTAGCTCAGAGAGGTCCAGAAGTAGCTGATAGCCATTCACCTGAATGATGAAGTTACCCATGCCAGTGGCAGGAGTTGGGATAACAAGGAAAACTGAAAATTTTTATGATAGAAAAACTTCTTCAGTGAATTGAGTTGTTTTTGATTGGCATAAAATATCACTATAAATGGCTCTTTAAAATAGGTGCATCTCCCAGTGGGGATAAAATAATTAGCAACATTAATTTAGATTTGAAAAGATTGCTGTCCTAAATTCATTTCTTCAGCTTGTCTTAGTTTTTCCCTCCTTTCCTTTTCAGCCAGTGGTGTACAGATAGGCGATTAACCCAGTTCTCTTTAGTTTTAGCAGATGGTTTACAGAGTGGGCTTGTGTCCTTTTTGTTGCTGAGAATCTTAGAAAAGGAGCACGTCCCAAACAGTAACAGCATTGGACAAAGAGACTGTCTCATGTCGGCACTATGAGGCTTGCT